ATGAGCCCTGATTGAAAACCTCGCTTCACCCACCAGCAACTGCAAAACTTCAAAAGCCATGTTGACTAGAAGGCCCTGCTGGGGGGCTGGAGAGATGGCTCAACAGTGAAGGCTGTCCTTCCAGAGGACCCGGGTTCGACTCACGGCACACATGGCGGCTCACAACTGTCTGTAACTTCAGTTACAGAGGACCCGAAACCAATGGCAAAACACTAATGCACATAAAATAATAAAATAAAAAAAAGAAGGCCCTGCTGACAAAACTTCCCATGTTGGGAAACCCCTGAAAACTGGAAGAAAGTAGAAAAGTGCCTCTAAATCCTGAAAGGAAGCAATGAGCAATCTAGAACTGCACATCTTGGATGAAGTAACAGAAGATGCTCAGACAAGCGAGGTGGCGGACAGTCTCCTGCCCACCTACTCCTGGGCCGGAAGCTGCTGCAGGACGTGCTCCAGCAAAGCAAGGACCACAGACAAAAAAGGAGCAAGGCCAGAAACAGGAGACTCCAGGGGGAAGAGAGGGGACAGGAATCCGGAGTCCGGACACTGCAGGCACACTGCAGGGACAGTGGTGACTGTGTGTGTGTGTGTGTGTGTGTGTGTGTGTGTGTACCTGAAACATACAGGAGAAAGATAGCCCAGGCATGAACAAACTGGGAGACTCTGCAAGATCACACGCGAGAAACCTAATGGGAAGGAATGTCTGCAGAAGAGATTTCCACAACTATGAGAGAACTCAGGGATGGGCCATAAAAAAGTTTATACGAAACTAGCCCAAAACCAATCAAGTAAGAAAGATGAAGGCAATTATTAACTCAAGGAGGCACAGTGTGAGAAAGAAATAATCTTAGCTGATTGCACGGTTCAGCTCAGCAGAGCATGAGATTCATGATATGGATAATGAGTAGTGATTGGAGTGGAATTATGATATAATTACACTGGGTGGGGCTAGGGATGCCAAGAGATGGGTGGGGAGTAGAAAGATAAAGATAATGCCTCAAACTGGAAATCAAGAAAAGCCTTCTATTTAAAGACATATTTCAAGCTGGTTGGGTGTGGTAGCAGCATCTGCAATCCTAGCTAGCCAGCACTTGGGAGATAGAAGCTGAAAGAAAGCAAAGTCATCGTTGGCAACAGATCAAGTTCAAGGCCACCCTGGGCTATGGAAGACCCCATCTCAGAATAAAACAAAACAAAAATAAAGATCGAGGCAGAAAGGAAAATAACCCACAAGAAGAACAGGGAGTTTTCTGTGGACCTGGCTGGCAAGAAATGATAGATCCTGTCATTTTTTTTTTGTAACAAACCATATTGAACTGTTTGATTCTTTCAATTAAATTACATAGAATTTTTTTTGGGGAAAAAGACCCTCAGCTAATCCAGTGGACACCCTTAAGTATCTTAAAATGTGACTGAAATCTTGTCGGGGCCAAGGAACCTAGTTAGGCTCAAAAGGAGCAGGGTTGCAGGGTTCATCATGACAGTTAGGGGTCAGTTATTCGGTTAATAAAGTTGTTCAAAACCCTGGAGCACAGCCCTGCCTTCACATTAGAGTCACAAGGGGACTTTGAGAGCTTCTTCACTCCATGTTCCCCTGAGCCAATGAATCCCCGAGGCAGGGCAGGCGGATGGAGGCAGCCTAAATTGAAAAGCCTGAGATTCTATAAATTGCAGTCTACTAGATCTATTGCTGGCCTAAGGAAACATTTTAAAATTTACCTCTTTATTCAATCATTCATTCATTTTTGGTTTTGAGACAGAGGCTACCTACATACGTATCCCCCAGCAGTTTTTAACTCGCCCTGGAGCCCAGGCTGCCTCAGCCTCTGGAATACTGAAATACAGATGTGTGCCACTATTCCACCCCCAGCTTCGTAACCTTCCTTGCTAAAACATTTATCCCTATTTTTAAGTCAGGGCTTCCTGTGTCCTAGGCTAGCTTAGGATGACCTTGAGTTTCTGACCCTCCCCCGTCTCAGTCTTCTGGTTACAGACTGTGTCACCACATACCCAGTGCGCATGCATACTGCTGGGGCCTGAACCCAGAATCTCTGCACCCTGGGCAGGCAGTTTTCCAACTGAGCTACATCTCCATGATCCCTGGCTTCATTTCTTTTATTTATAATTATTCCCTTAAAATGCTTGTCGTGTGTATATGATGTGTGTATGTGTGTGTGTATCTGTGAGTTTGATGGCGCGCACATGGAAGTCACAGGACCTCAGTTCTTTCCTTCCGCCTTATTTGTGGGAAGGTCTCTTGTTTGGTAAACTTGGACTCTAGGCTAGTTGGCCTACTGACTTCTGGGGAGTTCTGTCTCTGCCTCCAGTACTTGGGAGTAGGGGTGCAGACACACACCACATCTGGCTTTTGTGGGTTCTGGGGATCTGACTGAATACCAAGCACTTTTACCCAGTAAGCCATCCCCTGGGCTCCTCATTTGCATTTTCAATTTTACCGAATTCAACTCTTAAGAGAGGCATAGCCACAAAATACAAACCGGGGCTGGAGAGGCGGCTCAGTGGCCACAGGCACTTACTGGCAAGCCTGGCCACTGGAACCCACATAAAGGGAGGAGGAAGAAAAGCAACTCCACAAAGTTGTCCTCTGACCGCCACATGCATGCTGTGGGACTCGTCCCCTGTCCCCTCCCAATTAATACACAATTAACATATATACAAGAATAATAAACAGAAACTTTAAAAGGAAGAAAACACAGGAGCTTGGTTCTGGAAACTTGCAACTGCCTATAACTCCAGGTCCAAGGGATCCAAACCCCTCTTTTCGTACCCTTACACACAGATACAGACACATGCACATAAATAAAAATATAGATAGAATCTTAAAAATCCCACAAACTGATACTTTTTGCTATTTGAGCAGAGTCTATAAATAACAGCTGATGGGCACAAGGCCAGGCATAAAGGCCCCAGGGCGGAAAGTGCCAAAGGATGGATTTGCAGAAGCCCTACTTGGCTGCAGAGAAGGGCTGATGACACTGGTCCCACCAAGTCAGGGCATGTGGCTGCATGGTGTCTGGGAAGCCAAGGAGGCAGAAGCCGTCTCTGCTGTCTGTATTTTAGACACCCAAATTGTGCTTCCCCAGATCTTGCTCAGGTAGTTCTCCCCATTTTCCCTTTGCTACGCTGGGGTTTCACCATGAAAGGAGTTGGAAACCCCATGTCTTTCTGGTGGGAATGCTGAGCAGGGCAGCTGCCAAGAACAGTTTCATGGCTCTGCTGCACGCTAAGCCTACAGTTATCACGGGGCCCAACAATCCCACCTAGGCTTGCACCCAGGAGTGCTGAAAGTCTGCAAAAAGCACGTAAAAGCACGCTCAGAGAACCGCATTCACACTAGGCAACCAGGGAGAGCCACCCACATTCCGGCTCTCTGTGTGTGGTAAGCATGATGCAGCATTGGCCTTGAGCTGGGGTGAAGTCCTGACATGCTACCTCGTGCAGAAGCCTGGAAAACACTCGGCTAAACAAGAAACCAGACACGAAAAGCCCTGAGCTGTCTGCTTCCAGTTATGTGCAGTGTCCAGGAGAGGCAGCTCCAGAGGCAGAAGGTAGCTTAGCGGTTGCTGGGGAGGGAAGGCTCAGAAGTGTTGACAGTGTGGGGTTTCTGAGTGAGGGAATTAAAGGGTGAGGGGTGTGCCATCCTGTGTAAAACCCACTGAAGGGTGTGCTTTAAAGTGCTGAAAAGAATGTTGTCTTGTGTGAGTTTTATCCCCATGCAAATGTAAAGAAGTGAACTGTCAGAATGCGATGTTAGAATCCAGCCTCTGCCCAGGTCACGATTATTTGCAGCGGTCCCTCCCCCATCACTGTTACAGACAGGCACCTACTGAAGCACTGTGACTCTCTAGCTAACAGACTCACCTGGGGGAGCGGAGAGTACACAACAAAGGGGCCACGGGTGCCACGTGCTGTTCATCACTCTCTTCCCGGCCTACTGCCTGGGAATCATCGTTCTACCTGTAGGCTTGCACTCTTCCCCCGTTCTCAGAAAGGTCTCAAAAAAAAAAGACCCCCCCACTTCTGCCACATGGGCCCTGATTCCCCTTCTTCAGGGACTCCCAAGAATTGGAATTTCCCTAGGAATCTCATGGAAGGAAGAGGAGAAGGCCAGAGAGCTAGCTGAGCAGGTAAAGGTGATTGTCATAAAGTTTATGACCTGAGTTTGATCCCAGGGAACTGCATTGTGAAAGCAGAGAACCAGCTCCTGTAAGTTGTCTTCTGACCTCCAATTTGTACTGTGGTGTACATGCAAACATGCGCGCGCGCGCGCGCGCGCGCGCGCACACACACACACACACACACACACACACAATAACTAAAAACAATAAACGTAGTTTAGTGAGATGGCTTGGTAGGTAAAAGTTATTTGGCACCAAGCCTGATGACCCAAAATTGATCCCTGAGACCTACATCTCCATCCAGAAGCTGCTAGCGCACATGTGTGTGTGTGGTATGAATATAGGTTAATGATGGCCAGGGAAGCTTGGAGGGGCACACTGCCCACCACCCCGCAGGGTCTGAGTGGGCTGGAGAGCGGAGTGGGAAAGAGGAATGGTTTAAGAACTTTCGTGTAGATTAAATGTTTAAAGCGAAGCTTTGTTAAGGCTGTAGAGAGAGCACCAGCTGCTCTTCCAGAGGACCCGTGTTCAATTCCCAGCACCCACATGGTGCTCACAGCCGTCTGTAACTCCTGTTCCAGGGATCTGACACCATCTTTTGGTCTCAGAGGCACCAGCCACATATGTGGTACACAGATAAACATACAAGCATAACATGAATATACATTATAAAAATAAAAATTACCCACCCCCCAGCAATATAAACCAAACCCTGGTTTATAGTGAAGGACACACTGTCATCAACTGAAGTTACTCCCAAGAACAAAAGTCTTGCTGAATTAGAGAACTAGTCTTTTTGAAAAATGTATATACATTTATTAAAAATTTGAAGTTACTTAAAATTTTATTCGAGGGGGACACTATAAATTCAGAAGTCCCGGGAATTAGGCACAGAAAGATAGACTTCCAAGGAATTCTTAAGGTTTTCTATTGCATTTGTCGTTGCTCTGGGGTTTTGGTGCTTTAGGTTCTTCTGCGGGGCAACCCTGGCTACTGAACAACTCCTCAAGAACCCCAAAACAGACGGGAGAGGCTCCGGTGTGCGTACAACCAGATGCAGACAGCCGCGCACCTACGGAGCGGATGTAGTTCTTTGGGGTACCCAGAAGACCATTTCCCCACTTAGCGACGAGCCCCTCCCCCTTCCAAATGCTGCCCCCGTTGCAACCCCAGGACTCCATGCAGCATGCAGGTAAAAAAAATGTCTCTAGGCAGGAGATTTCCTCAGTTCTCCAGCCATCTAAAACGGTCCCTTAGCGGGTCACAGTTGGCAGGTAAAATCGTTTTAAAATGTTAAAACTTAAAACTTTTTCCAGATATACAGGATGGTCGTCGCGATGATGCAGGACAGAAAAGCCTTGATGAGCACTCTCCTCCAAACAATGACTGGAAAGGGGCTCCTGAAGAAATCGCAAAAGCCATCCTGTAGGGGGCACACGAGGAGTATTAGACGGACTCTCCATGAACAAACCTGAGCCCCAGATACACAGAAGGTGGGGCCGAAGAGGTGGCCCTGCCACTGAGTGCACTGGCTGCTCTTGCAGAGGACTTGGGTTCAGATCCCAGCACTCACGTGGTAGCTCACAACGCCGGCTAATTCCAGGTCCAGGGGACCTGGCGCCCTCTACTGGCCTCGCTGAGCACTGCATGTACATGGCACAGAACACATGCAGGTACTCATCCACACAGAATAAAAATATCTAAATAAAAATTCACTGGAAGTGCTAGCGTGGAGCTTGGCGGTCAAACGTGATGACATGCACAAGGCCCTGGGCCAATCTCTAGTATGAAGGTTCTAGATCCTGCCATAAAATGAAAGGCACGTGCCTACCAAACACCCCAGGATCTGTTCACAGCTCAACTCGCATAGAAGCTGTCATCAAACTGCCCCATATGGCAGAGATGCCTCATAACACCTCACATTTTAGCTCAACGCTGAGGAAAGACATCTAGGAGAACTCTATAAAAACCTCTTTACTTTCTGACGCCTTCCCCACAACCTCCAATAAAACTGAAAAACTTAAACCTCGGGCATTCCCTCCTTTGACGGCACCTGTCTGTCTTCAGCTCTTCTAGTCACCCCCGGACCCTCCCCTCTCCAAATCAAAGTCAAAATGGTTTCAGAACTCATCGAGGCCCCCCCGGGTCAGACCTGTGGCTACCCCTTTAATAACCCCTGTCTTGATTTTTACATTCATAACCCCCCCACCCCCGCCGCTGCTTAGCACACTGCCCATCTCAACTCATCCAGACTGCTGTGTGTACAGCACATGACTCAGGCTCATGAGGACAACATCCTTCCATTGTGCCAACACAGACGTCAGTCTCTGACTCAGATACGTCCAGACAGATGTGCTGACTCCACACCACCCCAAGTTAATATGTAGCAACCAGAGACTGAATTCATGCCTGCCACCCCAAACAAAAAGGCTGGGAAGGTTACATTTGTGTACAGAGTGTATTCAAGCCATGTTCGCCACAGCAGCTGCTTTCGCTGCCTTCACAGCTCAGATGGAAGAAATAGCGGAGGCCACACTGAAAGCCAGCCCGTGATGTGTAAGCGTCTCTTCCCCGAAGGGAGTTCACCAGCCCCAGGCTCCCTGAGGCCCCGAGTATGGCCAGCAAATCCTGTATGGTGAACATACATTAACCAAAGGAGCCAACATTTTCCCCTGCCCTTGCTGCTCTGGAAACAGTGACAACCCAACTTCAAGCACTTATTCACCACTAAGTGGCATGGGGCCTCCTCCCTCCTCTGGAACCCATAAGAGGGGATTCCGGCTTTGTCCCATAGACCTGAACACCACGCAGAGTCCGTCATGCTGCCTGTCCTTGGTATTAACTCTGTGAGTCTCTTATCCAAAAGAAAACTGGCCTCACCGTTCCTCTTGAACCCTCCCAAGTCTGAGAGCTCATGGGGAGAGAGGAGAAGTGAGGAAGGAGAGGGGGAGAGGAGAGAGAGGGCTCAGAGGGTTCTCAAAACCCCAGCTGAACGCAGTCTACCGGCCCGGCCCAGTGAGACCCACACAGCAGGAACAGGGCAGGAGTTACCGCTAACCCTTCTGACACACCGCCTTTCCTTCTCAGGGGGTCTAAATGCAGACTGCTGACAGGCTTTTTTACAGCAGGTTTTAGTAATTTACATTTATAGTATAACACGGGTCACTTCAGCTTTGATTCAGCCCTGACGGGGAAGAAGAAACCTGAGGCCAAGCTCAGCACCTGGGCTAAACTAGGGTGGAGGTTTTTTTTTTTTTTTTTTCTTCTCTGGCGGTGCTGGGTATCGAACCCAAGGCCTCACAGATGCTAACAATCTACAGTCACACTTTATTCTCATGCCGCGTGTTTTCCTTGGCCCGTAGCTCTGGGTAGCTGCCTCTTTAGCTTTTTACAACTCAGAGATTCGGGACCAACAGAAAGTCAGGAGCCTGCCCAGCAGGGAAAAGGGCAATGGGCGAGAAGACCCCAGTCAGGGGCCACACTTGGTCACAGACAGTTCACAGCCCCTAGGGCTTTAGTCTCCTGCAGGGTTAGAGAAAGGAGAGGAAGTTCTGGAGGGCCTGGGCGTGACCCATAGTCCCTTTTATACTGCTCGGGCTTCTCGGACCTAATAAGCCCTCCCTGAAAGTTCCAAGGGCAAGGGGTAGGGAATGCCATGTGTGCCTAGTCACCCCTGAATGGATTTTTATGAGAAATATTGAGCCAAGGGCCGTCTGAGTGCCTCTAAAGAAATCCTCGGGCTGGGGCCGGGGCTCAGTAAATAGAGTTTTTCTGGCCTGTTCAAAGCCCCCCCCCCATCCCGGAGGGGGTGTCCAGGGGCCTCCACATCCGCACCGCATCAACCCATCCATAGTAGCATAGCCTGTAAGTAGTGCCCCGGGAATGCAAGCAGGAGGACCATATTTATAGGAGGCTATGAATGAGTCCAGCCTGGGCTACCTGAGACCCTTACTTTAGGAAAAAAAAAAAAACAGTAAAGGAAGAAAATAAAATCGGACTGCACAGTAAAGCTGAAGTGCTCCTGGTCTCTGAGAGGCATTTAGCACAGCACCCCCACCCAATCGCACCCCCCCACACACACACCATCACACCCACGCTTCGCGTGTGGTCTCACCCAGCCGTCATGAGTCTCCAGCCACAAGCGATGATGTCTCAGGAGCCGATTACACAGTAAATCCACGAGGAGATGGCAGTCCCGGGCCACTTGCACTGGATTGTTCCCACCGTTCCTCTGCGTGGTAGCGTGGCTAGGGTCTTGATCCAGAAGCGTCCCCGCGAAGGTCAAGAGCACCACCAGGCGGCCCCAGTTGAAGTTTGGGGCATCGGAGAACACCCCATTCGCCATCTGTCTCACCAGCTCCACGCGGTTGCCCTGGTAGCCAAAGAAGGTGGAGAAGAAAGCCTCGTGCTGCTGTTGCATCCGCGCTGCCAGAGAGCGCAGCAATTCCGCCTCGGCCGATGTGGGCGGTGACTCGGGGACACCCGGTTCCCGAGCACAGAACGTCAAGAAGTCAGTCAACAGCAGTCTAGTGCGTTCCTGCAACGGGTCGTCCATTCTTGGGCCTCTGCACCCGGCCCAACCCAGCCGGCTTTCAAGGCCCAGCGGCTTCCTGCCTCCACCCCCCAGATGATTGGGAATTTCACTTGCACCTGTTGCAAGGAGCGAGGCCCATGATGGAGCAAACAAGAACAACGTGGGACCCTCGGGTTACTGCCTACCTTTTGCCCAAGGATTAAGAATTAGCGGGGTTCTGGAACTTTCTAGGCGTTGGTAGGCCTTAGAATTGTCATTCTCCTACCTCGGCCTCCTGAATCTCTGGAATTACAGGCTTGTGCCATCAGGCCGGGCTAGAAGCCACGTCTTAACTTGCTATGAACCCGGCCGGCTTGTTTGGAAAGTGAGGATATATAAATAATTTTGCAAAGGGGCTGTCCTAAGCTGGAGGAGGCAATGCAGGCCGGGCCCCTGACTCTTGCCTGTCTATGACCTACCAGCTACGTTCCCTAGAATCCTTGCAGGCCTCCCTTGACCAAGTCTCTAGTTCATCAGTTCTCAACATTCCTAACGTTGCGACCCTCTCCTTGCAGTTACTCCCAACAATACAATTATTTTGTTGCTACTTCATAACTGTAATTTTGCTACTGTTATGAGTCCTAAGTACCTGCTGTGCAGGATATCTATCTCATATGGGACCCCAAAGAGGTCACAGGTTGAGACCTACTGCTCTGGTAGGTTACAGTTCTGCTGGGCTCTATTCCTCGTGGGCCCTCCTGGGGCTGTTTTTTTGACTTTCTGTGAGCTGAGGTTACCCCGTTTCCTAGACATCACTTGTGCCCAGCTGTCCGGTCCCTTCTTTATGTCCACACTCTCTAGAAGCCTGCTTTAATCCAGGGCAGTCTCCCTGGGGGGCAAAGAGAACTCTCTAGAGTGTCACAGTATAACCCAGAACCAGCGTGTGTCCCTGAGACTCTTTCAGGGCTCCTAAGGGACATTTAAATAATCCTAATGACATGACAAAAATGTGTGTGACGTTTCTCACTCTCAAGTCCAAAGAGGCTGCTGAGGTCACAGGAGCGCCCCGATGGCTGGAAGAGTGTGTTTGCTGCATTCTGGGGTCTCTCTGAGGAGCAACCGTCTGGGGCTGAGGCTATAAAGGCAAAGCCAACACTATGCAAAGAGCCAGCCAGGCAATCTGGGGGTACACTCCTTCTCCTGCTTCTCAGGGGCAGCAAATCTTTGGCCAGATGCCCAAGGCCATGCATAGCGCCAGTTTTACCCAGGAATGATTACCAGTGTCCAAGATGACCTTAGATTCCCAGTATTCTTTAAAAAAAAATCCTTTTAGAGATGGGGTCTTGGGGGCCTGGGGCTGTACCTTTCAAGTTCTGGGTTTGGTCCCAGCAGCACACCTACAATTTTAGTGCACCCAGTATGTGGTGCATGCTGACAAACGGGGTGTTCCAGCACCAGAAGTTTACAATCCTACTTGGCAATGCAGCAAATTTGAGGGCAGCCTGGGAATATATGATACATTGTTTCATAAAAAACAAAACAAGGGGCATTGAGATTGTTCAGGAGGTAAGGGTGCTTCTTACTAAGCTGGAGGATCTGAGTTCAATCCCCAGGCACCACAAGTGGAAGCTGCGAACAGGCTCCCACTGACTGCACTCTGACGTCCACACATGTTCTGTGGCATGGGTATCCAACACACACACACACACACACACACACACACACACACACACACACAATAAATAAATGAATAAAATAATGAACAACTAAATATAAAAAGACAAAACAGAGCAAAACAACCCCCACACACACACAAAATGAAAAGCAGAGGTCTCACATGTGACTGAGGTTGGCCTTGAGCTCTTGGGCTCAAGCCTCCTCCTCCTGCCTCTGAACCACCCCACTCCCCAAGTACCTGGACTTAAAAGTGTGTGCCACCACGGCTGTTAACATGACATTTTACTAGATAAGGCATTTCTAAAAGAACAAACCTCTACACCTTTAAAAGAAAAATGGAAGAAAAAAAGCAGGGACCTCGTAATAAGAAGCAGGCAGTAGCATCTAGAAGGAACTGCTGACTCAAATAAAGACAGGATACCCCTTTGATAGCAAAGACATTATTATTCATGACCTGGCCATCAGTCTTAGTACAGCCGCTGTGTAGGACACTCAGATATTATTTACACGGATAATACCCACTTTAACTTAGGCATTTCTGACAACACTACTAGTAGGCTTAACCCATTTAGTGTCTTGTCTTCCCACGGCAGAAGGTTCTGGTTGCTCTTGGCAGCGTTTGAGCTATAAATGGCAACCAGTTTTTCCTCTCCAGTGTGGGGGACTGCCCTGCCCTAGCCCACCATCTATCGCAGCGCCCCAAGTCAGACATCTGGCCTGTTTTCTCATGTGTCTGCTTCCTTTGGAAAGGCTCTCCCAGACAAAAACATCATCTAAAAAAATACAACTGAACAGGTTGGGAAAAAGAGATACTTTGACATAAAAACAGTTTTAAAAAGTGGTTCTGTGTAGTCACAGTTGGAGCTGGAATTTTCTTCTCTGACAGATCAATGCACAGTCATTCTCACAGTCCACAGAGCTGGCATGTCCAGAGGAAGTTTCTAGAAGCCACAGTCCACACCAAGAAAAGGTAGTTTAAAGTGCTCTGAAGACAGACCGGATTCGAGGAAGCAACGGGGGACAGTTTAAATGCTGATAAATGTGGAACTCTACTGGATGAAATAACTTAAAAAACAGACAAACTTTACAGAGTGTTGGAGATGAAGCAAGGACTCGAAGGTACAGTCCAAGTGCTGAGACCTACAGGGGTGCATTTCCAGGAAGGGGACGGTTTTCGTGGTGACACTGGAGGGCTGAGTGATGAGCTGTGAAGTTGCTCCCATGAGCTAACCTGTGGGAAGTCCTGGGCTCCTCTAGAAGTCATAGCTACATGGGAGGACACATGTTCTTCGTGCACGCTGTGAGAGGATTATGCCCAAACCTGAAAAGACGAAGGTAGATCATTTTTAGTAGTTATTCATAAAACTTGAGTTTAAGAGAGGAAAACAGAAAACAGGTCTTACACACTCACACATACACACACGTATACACACATGCACACACATATACACATGCACATACATAGACACAGACATACATGCACACACAGACAGACAGACATAAATGCACACACATGAACACACATACACACACACAGACACACACACACCTCCCACTCACACACTCCACCAAACAGGGCTCTCGAGGCTTCAGCATCTCTGATACCTACCCCTCAGTTAACCATCGGCATGGCAGCCACTGGTGACGCCTTAGACTGAGAACTGAACCATGTGAATCCTCCCAGCTCATTGTTGTTCATCAACACCTCACTACTAAACTTTGTTTTTGTAACGTTGCAAAAAAATCTTTTTATCTATTTGTCCCAAAACTAGGCATTCAACCTACTCCCGTTAAAATAAATAGAACTTTCTAGGACCTTAGTACAACATTCTTCATTCATGATTTAGTGTGTATGTGTCTGTGTGTGCTGTAGTGTACACGAGTAGGTCAGAGGATAATTTGTGGGCACCAGTTCTCTCCAACCACTCTGTGGGTTCCAGGACTCAAACTCAGGCTGTTGGGCTTGGCAGCAAGCGCCTTTACCCATGAGACATCTTGTTGGCCCCTCTAGGACTTTCTTTAAAAATCTGCCCCTCACCCTCTGCCCAGCCATGTTAAAATTATTATGCTCCAAATATGTCCAAGCCGAATCAAGTCATTATCCAAAGATCTATCTCAAACTTGACCCCTAAACCCTCACACAAGGCTCTGTCAGACCTGGTATCTTGCATAGCAACGGGCAATGTGCTTGGCACTCCCACGCTCCAGGAACACCCGACGCCCACCTCCCTGCTTTCTGCTGTGGTGGTGGGACTCTAACTCTAGGGGAGTTGAAAAGCTGATCAAAGCCACAAGGCCCTTCTCCTGGAATAGTATTCATACAATCAGTAGGCCATGCCAGGGGCCTTCACCTCCTCACATGGAGTCTGTCCCAGTGTGGAGAACCCTGCAGCACAGGGAGCAGTGACTGGGAACCTGGGACTTACTCAAGGCCAGAATCACAACAACATCAGACATGTAGGGGAAAATGAAACAAAGGATTTGGGTTCTTCAAGTTCCATTATTCTTTCGGCACCATTCTTGGTCTCTCTGAACACGTGTGTGGACAAAGCTCCTGACCTCCCAGAGCCTCCCCTTTGGCATCTACCTTAGCTCTGGACATGAGAATGCTGGCTGACAGCCCATCTCAGGAAGGCCACCAGGCCTTCCTTTCCTTTCACACAGGGAAATGGGACATCTCCTTACTCTTAGGGTGTGATCCCATGACCCTGAGCAGAATGCTGTCCCGTCAGGAGAAACTCGAAGAGTGCTGACGCGGTTCTCATGTCCAAACAGGATGGAGACCCTAGAGCCCTTGAGAACGTCCCAGACATTGATGGTGTAGTCATTGTACCCAGCAAAGAGCAGGCGACCTAGAAGCAGAAGATGCAATGGTTAAACCAGTTCCTGTTTCTCCTTCCTTGACAGTCACTCATCCTCACTCACTTACTAATGAATTTTTCCATCCATCCATCCATCCATCCATCCATCCATCCATTCATCCATCCATCATCCATCCTCCATCCATCTATCCATCAACCATCCATCCTCCATCCATCCATCCATCATCCATCCATCCATTCATCCATCCATCCTCCATCCATCCATCACCCATCCATCCTCCATCTATCCATCATCCATCCATCTTCCATTCATCAATCCATCCAGCCATCCATCCTCCATCCATTCTCCATCCATCCATCCTTCATCCATCCATCCATCATCCATCCATTCTCCATCCATCCATCCTCCATCCATCATCCATCCATCCATCCATCATCTATCCATCCATCCATCCTCCATTCATCAATCCATACACCCATCATCCATCCATCCATCCATCCATCCATTCATCATCTATCTATCATCCATCCATCCTCCATCCATC